TTGTAAGATTGACTGCTAATAGCTTACACTTGTTAGTTATAATTGAAATTAACTTATGCACTTACGAGATTTTTTGAAAATTTATTATACAATCTTAAGAGTTATTTACGTGATTGGGACCTGGGGCCATACTTTCAAATCTCGCTAAGTGAACGTAAGTACTTGCGCTCTATTTTCTTGTCTATGATTGGTGGATTTTGCTTGAAATGCCGTCAATGATTGGCTGATGAACTTACGATCTTTTAACTTTTTTTTGAAAGTATGGGACCTGTACGGGTGAGATGAACGCAGTGTTGGGAACATTGGATGCAATGTTTGGGTTATAACTTTAAGGTGAGAACTGAGAAACATGTTGGCTGTGAACGCGATGGCATGCGCTTATATTGTTCTATGTAGACTTACTGAACTTCACCTTACTTAATGGTTCTTAATGAGATCTGTTGAGACTTAATGCGATTATCTCATTAAGATCTTAATGAGAACTTAATGAGATCTGTTCACTTGGTATTCAGCGTGAGCTTTTAATCGTAACTCGTTGATCATGAGAGAAATTTATTCGATCCTATTGTTGTAATAATGATGCAGTAAATTAAGCAACCTCGTAAATAATAACTCTTTAAATCTAATTCGGTTTTACTAAGGAGTGGGTAAATTAGACGAACTGTCTTTTTCAGAGTACATTGCATAAGTGCTATTGTACGTAACAATTACGACGTGTGACCATGCCGGGCTGTGGATGTTGTTCATCAAAGTTATTTGTTCGCTTCACGAGCTCGGGATCTGGATGAAACTTATTATACTTTTTTTAAGCACACTGTTAGAAAAAAACGGTGAAAAAACGGTCCCACTGGCGTTCTAGTTCTATGTCGTCCCATGAAAATAAACTGTTTCGCCGTTTTTATCAGATGTTTTACGGATTTCTAGTGTAAAATTTGAATCAAAACGGCGACACGGTGTTTCTTTTCACGTGCCGACCGGCCACTGAAACGCCGGTAATACAGTTAACGGTAATTTTTCTAACAGTGCAGGTTGTTCTTTAGTGCCACTTCCATAATGTCAATGTATTACGTGTTAACTCTAATATCTGAATTATTTACTGTTCATTATTTAATATACACTTCTACTGGTTCACTTCCCGCATGTCTTATTTTCATTCAGTTGTCAATCAAATTAATGTTCTTATTCGTGCTATTGAATTGTCTTTATCTATTAATTATTGAAATAATGAAGCGGTATTGCGGCGTGTTGTACTGGGATGTGAATGTAGCTTGGCCTGAAGCGCAAGCTCTGGGATTTATTTGTTGGTAAATATGAAATATTATTGTTACTTGGTAACATTCATTCTTTACGTATTAATGTTTATTTTTGTTCCTAATCACTAACCTTTATTCTCATGAACAAAGTCAGCATTTGAGATATTCAATGCGAGGAAGTTTACAGACATTTCGATACTTGATTAGTTTCTCGTTAAAAGCTTTCGGTGTTTTTTCGGCGACTGTAGGTTTGGTCTCCCATGAATGTCTGAAGTGTAACGCAAACCTCATTCCATTTTTCTCTGATTCAAAAGATATGATTTCCTTCTAAAAATTAATAAAAATTTCTGTTCGAGATTGATGAAAATTCACTTTGAGTTTAACTTCTTTTCTAGTTTATTCTCATTATACAGAGACAATGTTGATCCGCCTAACAAGGCGGTTATAGTTCTTAACTTTCTAACAATCTTTTTTAAGTTCTATTACTAAACTAGCAGATTTGATAGATTCTGTTATTCTAATTATGGTTTTAGCCAAAGTACGATTGATTGCATAAAATTTTATTAACTTTGTTGTTGGATTCTACATCTACACTGCTTTAGTACCAAATTAAACGTGGCTCGCTACGATCAAACTTGACTTTTGTTTTTCCTTAAAATAGATTATATTTTTGTTCATTTACGTGGAAGAAGTGTTATGCTCAACTTTTCGACGCGGTGGTGAGTCTCGTACAAGTAAAATATTTGTGCAATCTTCAAGTAATATCTTTGGAATAATCTTCAAGTTATATCTCTGTGGAATAATTTTCTAGTAATATCTTTGTGGAATAATATTCAAGTAATATCTTTGTAGAATAATATTCAAGTAATATCTTTGTAGAATAATATTCAAGTAATATCTTTGTAGAATAATATTCAAGTAATATCTCTGTGGAATAATATTCAAGTAATATCTCTGTGGAATAATATTCAAGCAATATCTTTGTTGAATAATATTCAAGTAATATCTCTGTGGAATAATTTTCTAGTAATGTCTTTGTGGAAAATCTTCTAGTACTATATATTTGGAACAATATTCAAACAATATCCAAGTAATGTCTTTGTGGAATAATATTCAAGTAATATCTGAATGTAATAATAAAAGTAATATCTCTGGTACCTTCCGTCATGACGCATCAGCTCATGTCGACTCATTGCTTATAGCAGCGATCTTTTCAATGAAAAGCTAAACTCTACAAGATTATTAGCGTATATAGTGCTTATTGTCGTTTACCGTCTCGTGTAGTTTCGTTCAATCAATATTTTTTCTTGAAATCAAAAAAATCCAAACTTGTCAAGTGGTGAAAGTTTATTTCTAAATCGACGATTTGAGGTATTAGACTTGTCAGAGAAAATTTTTATCCGTTGTACATATTCAGATGAAATTGGTGTATATCATTTAATCGCCGGACTTGTTGTGCTAGACGATTTCATTAATTTGAGGATTTTTTTCGTGAAATAGCATGTAAAATCGTTAAGTGAAACATTCATTTCGAATATTAGGAATGAAAGATGAACGCAAGCTAATAAATCCAATAAACTTCTTACACTGATCAGACGCTCTTAAGAGTTCAGAAGCAACGAAGCTGTTGTTTGTTGCTGTCGTGCGCCCGAACCTAGAGTTTGAAACGCTGTGTGGTCACCGAAACTTGAAACGGACAAAAATTTAGTATAGTGTTCAAAGACATGCTAAAAGGATAATTCCAGGCTTGAAGGGCAAGTCTTACAAAGAAAGATTAAAGATTATGAAGCTTCCAAGCCTCTGTTATCGACGTCTGACTTATTGAAGTATACAAGTATACTCATGGCTTATACAAGGCCCCAAAAGGATTACTAGAATTTGAAACAAGAACCAACACCAGGGGCCACGGCTATATACTAAAAAAACTGCGCTGCAACTTCTCCACGCGACAACATTTCTTCTCGCTTTCGAGTCACCGACATGTGGAACAGCCTCCCCGATGACATCGTTGGTGCTCCGAGTATCAAATAACTTCAAGAACAGACTAGATAAACCTATGGAAAAATATATGTTAAAACTTGAAATGCCTAGCACCATATCGATTTTAGATCAGATATTAGATTAGATATTATGACACGATTTAGATAAAAATGACGCGATTTTAGATCTTCTGTGAACAAGGCACTAAAAGGAAAAGAATCGGCGACAGGCCACATCAGGCCCATTCTTCAGCGCCGACATCAATATGATATGATATTGTATAAGCTCAGATAAGCCAAAGGAAACAACGTTCTCGTGCTTAATAGTTTAGATGAGGTCCCAGCCGCCAGCATCACCGACAGCATCGTGCTTCTAGATGTTGATACGGGACAGTTTGTTTTCGTATTGCCACAGACTTCCGTAGATGAGCGAGCGCCATTCGTGTTCAACTAGAAGCGTTGAAATGTTCAAAGAAGAAAAGGAATTTAAAAACAAAGAGAACGCCTAGTAAATTCATCATATCGATGTTGAAAACATTTCTGAGTCCAGCTCCATCGTCAGTTCGACAATCTATAAAATGAAAACGATCATTATAATTCAAAATCCAAAGGTCAAAGAAGAGTTATGATAAGCATCTGGTATTATATACTTCAACGGGAGAACTTCATAAAGGTAAGAAATGAAATAATCTATGTCAATAGGTTTAATGAATACAATTTTTAGCGCATTTTCTCATTTATGGAAAAAAGGCGCTATTGTGCTCGTCATGCCCGTCTGTCTGTCCGTCCGTCCGTCTGTCCGTGACTTCACGTTTTCGTCGACGAGAAAATGCTCTCTCTGTCACTCACTGCAGTGAGTACCGAGTTAAATTTTTTTAATATTATTAGCTTTCACTCTTCACCCACTTGGCCCACTCACGAAGTTCACCCATTTTGCCTCCACTCATAAAGCTCACCCACTTAGCCCCCCTCGGAGCTCACCCACAGAGACCACTCATGAAACCCTCAAATCTTGCAACGATGTCACGCCCGTTGGGCACCAGCACCTCCAGGCTCTCCAGTAGGCTGACCAGCAGCAATTTAGAATAGAATAGAAGTGTCGGCACTGAATAAATAGGCCCATGGCCTGTTTTTTTTATAGTTGGGGTTAAGACTTGTGGCGACAAATTCGCCCACCAGCCCATGGCCTGTTGCCGATTCTTGAATTTTTCGTGACTTGATTCACAAGGGATCCGGCCTTTGGAACCCGAGGTCCGTAATTTGCTAGGTCCGTAATTTTAGAATGATTTTAATCAAATTTTGCTCTCTATAAATTTCCCTTATTTAAATTTTGTGTAGTATTTGTCAGGGAGAAGTTCATTTCGGCTGAACATTACTTTCAGAAAGCCTTGCTACAATTTCAAGAAATTTTTCAGGATTTTGTAAATGTTATAGCATATGTATGGTAATTTTTACTGTTAATTTGCTGAAAAAACGTACTGTAAAAATTGAGTGACCTTTAACGAACCTACATTTTCAGCCTTTGTAGCCTATCTGCGAACTGAGCTTTCGTTGTGAGTAAAGCTTAACCTTTTCTTGCTAATTAAAAAATCACTTCCTCACAGCCATTCTGTTGGTAATTTTTTCAGTCAATCAAATTAATACTTAAATAGCCAATTTATTGCCTAAAATCACGCATTGTAGTTCCGATAGTTATGAATGTCCGTCGCGTTTTCGAGAACGTGCAATTTCTTATCGGTCATCAGGGTAATGTAAAAGGCAAGGTATGTTTGACTGTATATAGTTTATGTTATAACAAATTATAAAAACGGAAGCCTTAATATGTACAAACTTAATTTACTCCTTACTCGCACTCTATGTTCAATACTGATTAATAATTAATAACTTCACACTTTGTGACCATTAATTGAGCAGCCAGGCATGTATGAATGGCCGAGCTTAACTCGGTGGGCGCGACGTAAAATTATGTTCACAAGTCGCTGAAAATTTACAGCTAAAATTTTGAATCTACATGGGATGCATAAATTTTTTAGTGATCTCCTGAAAATTCCGGCTCCTGAAGAGCGACATGAAAATTTTCTCTGTGCATGAAATTGAAAACATTACCATGTTTTTTTTTAATTTGCAGGGACATGTACGAAATGTCATTAGTGTCAAACTAATGTAGTAGCGTTAACGAACAACTTTGTAATTGAATCCCAATAATTCAAACTTTTATAGCATGAATTTTGATTCATACAATATTGAACTAAATCTATGGAAATTTTTGAAATTTCTTATACTTCTCGAAGAAGTATTCCGAACATCATTAAGGGAGTGTCGTACAATATTTCATAACTTGCCTTACTGTTAAGCACGTTGGCTTTAATATCAACATGAATCCCGAGAAAAATTCCGACCTTTGCCCAAAAAAATATTTTCACAAAAGAATTTGAACATGAGCATAGAGAAGGAGTTATCCTGTACATCATTTTATTCAAGCTCTTGGTCATCATTGAGAGCTCAATAGAGCTTTGAAATTCTTAATGATAATCATTTTAATTCACCTACTTCGATCATTGAGACTCCAATTCGTCTTACACTTTATGACTTAGACGATAAACCTGTACAAAATCACCGCGACGAGCCAACACCTAGCGTACTTGCAGCCAAGTTCATACACTGCATCATAACAACGTACTTTCGTCTGAATATTAATAAGTTAATCATTCACGCACTCTAAAAAGTAACAAACTATTTCAACAGTCGCAATTGGATTACAAATTCTATGAAATTGTAATGAAACTTCTCATTGGAAACAAATTCTCATAGGAAGTGAAAATTTTTTTCATGGAGTGAAAATTCTCATTCAAAAGGAATATTTCTCAGCATAAGTGCAAGTTTAAATCAACGCAACAATTCTCATCGACATGATAAGATCGTTTGAATATCAACAGTCTCATCGAAACTTGTTAGGAGAACGTTTCGTAACATATGGAGAGAATCATTGAGAGTGAGAAATGTCTCCAGTAATCACATTTGGCCTAGCAAATATTTACATAAACTTTGAGACAGAAGATCGATGACATGAAGACGCTAGTTAACGCGTTCTCATGAAGGTACAGTGAGCAACATCGCGCCGGATCATACTTGCAACGTAACATTAATGTATAAAAGAGAACTGCTTATGGTAAAAAAACAGCAACGGTGGGGACAGATTAAGTCTTAGTTTCAAAGCAAAGCGAAGCGAAATTACACGCGGAGTTTCCTTAATAACCTCGATTTATCTTAAACAACCAAAAAATCATTTTGGAATGCGGTAGTTAATAGAATAAATATAACTGAGGTCAGGGACATTCAAACACAAGTTTGGCCAAAAACTTCACTATCTTAGAAAATCGGGTTAATGATCGAGTAACGTTCTCAGAACAGTGAGCTTGTCTCTTCACTAGCTCCACGTCGCGTTTAAATTTCCTAAAGTAACAACGATAAAAATATTAAGGCACTTAACGAATTGTTCCTATCTAATGATGAGTGTTGCGTAAGGATCAAAGAACAGTTACGTACAACCAACTAACGCTAACTCACCATCACAACATTCATTTTGATTGGTTCTTCGTGTGATAAAAATATGTAACAATTACGTATACATTATAAACAAGCTCTGAAACACAAGACTGGCGCGCACAAGTGTCAATCATTGGTCTCAGACGTAAGATTCCTCTCCATAAGAAGACTGCGGTCGCGATGATTTTCTACAGAAGTTGTCCTTGGCTCCGAGATGGTAAGACGTTATAGGGGCGCGGCCCGCGATCGGCGGAGGTCGGTATGGGGGCGGATGGACTTTAGCGCCCTTTAGGCTTTCGCCAAATATCGCTCGCAGTTGTGATACGGACCAACTTATTTCCTGCCTCAGTTCGGGCTCATAATTAGCGAAATCTCTCAGACCGTAGTTGACTGCTCCAGGATATTCGTGGGGGAACTCCCATTCATCGTCCTCACTGTCCGAGGAGGAAGGATGTATGGCTGAATCTCGACTGGGAACGCTGCGGCTTCGCTGAGAAGCTGAGGAATCTCTTCTTCGAGGGCGACCTCGGCTCCTCTTGGTGCTGCTCTTGGAGTTTCCGTTAGACGAAGCCGAGACGGAGTTAATGTTGTAGTTATTGTAGGTGCTATCAGGAACTTGAACTGATGTTACGTGGTCTGACATCCAAGCGTCCGAAGTTGGGCTGTCGTCATCTCTTATGTCATCGTCGTCGTCCAAGTCGCAGTCGTCTGTTTGAGTCTCAATGCTCTTCTTCTCGACGACAGGCTGGGCGACGGTGCGAACTGTCCTGTCGCGATCATTGGTGCTCTCCACGACCTCTATAACAGTGCGTTCTTTAGGAGGCAGATTAGGAGGGCCAACATCGGTATAGATTATAGTTTTGTGCATAGTGGGACCAACGGAAGAATTTAAAGAAAGACTGCTTTGCTTCTTTCTACTCGTAGTTTCTACGTGGACGGGTGGAAGATGTTTCAATTTATTGGAATTTTCACTGCTCATACGTCGGCTGGATCGTTGCTTAGGAGGAAGAGGAGGCGGGTCACCCTTAGGAGGCAGAGGTGGAGGACAGTCAACTTCATCCACGTCGAGAGTGTGAGCCGGTGACGCGCGAACGATGTCTCCAAAGACCTTTTCTTCTTGGTACAAGCGCAAAGAATCTGCATACAGCTTCTTGGCTCGAGCAGATTTAACCTTTTCTTCCCGAATGGAATGGTCATTAAATTGAGAAGGAGATCCTGAGTTCTGTTGCTGCTGATGCTGCAACATAATAGAACGTCTGTTCAAGGCTTCTTCATAAGATGGAGGGTTTGACGAAAGTGTGGAGCAACTGCCTGCCGATATGACTGTGCAGACACTGCCGGTCCTTTCGCTTTTGAACGAAGAATTACGGGAGTTGCCAGAGTCAGATGGAGTCTGCGGATCCCAGTGACCGTTGCTTCCGCTGCCACACTCTTTACCTCTAGAGTTAGAGCGCGAAACGTGAGGTGTGGAGTCATCGTCGCTTAATGTCGAAGAGTCGTACGAACGATCAACTTCATCTTGTATGTTGGACGTGGACCTCGATCTTAGCCATGAAACTGTATCTTGCGAAGCCGAGCGCGAAATGGACATGAGATTTTCAGAGTTATCTTTGAGTTTTTCTTTTCGGACTTCCGCAAGATAATGAGCAGATCTGGAGCGACGAAGCGGCGAGTCCCTGGTGATGAAATTTGCGCTGTCATCGTATTCGATTGTCGCCGGCGACCGAGTTCTCTCTGCCGATGGAGAACGTAAATTAGTTGTTCCACTAGCTCCCAGTGACATACCGTATTCATGGTTGTTGTATTTGCTTAATAAACTCTCTTCTGAAGTGGTCCGGATGAGACCGTGTTCGACATTGTTGGTCTTGTAAGCCTTTCGTAAATTAGATTTTCTTCTCATTGGGTCGTCCCGTTGGAAATTTGAATTTACGTTTTCAATTTCCAGAACCTGCTTGTGGCTGGGATCGGTTGATGGCACGCTGTATATTGAGTCGTTTTCGTAAGTCATCCTTGAGTTATCGCTAAGACGTTCAGGAGAGTACGTTTGCAACGAGTAGTCTTTATTCCCGACGGCATAATTGGGAGTTGAGTACGTTATGTGCACACGCGTGTGCTCACGGGACGGAGTTGCGTAATAATTTTCGTGCTCGTCGTACCCATTACTTTTATCGGACCTTCTACACACAGCTGTGTAGATGGCATTTGGGTTGTTGGGTGCCGGATAATGCTGGACGCGTTCAACATTTCTGTGGTCAGGATAAGGCGCGTTCTTATCACCACTCGAATGTCCGGAGCTTGTGCTCTCGCTCTCTTCTTCATCAGGAGTGTAGAGCTGAGTGTCACTCATGGTCAACCCGGAGTCTCGGCTTAGATTCGTCAAAGACATTTTATCCTTGCGCGGCAGAGGCGATAATTCACCTTCCAAGTCCCTCTCGAGTGAGTCGATGCTGCTGTCATCCCTTCTACCATTGCAACTGTGCAAGCTATGGCCACTATGCAGGCTATCCGACTCCTCTGCTCCGCTATCTTGCCTGGCCGAGTCTTGTTCTGGAGGATCGCCCATAATTCTGAGCATGGCTTCACCGAAAACTTCTCCGAAACGCTCGATGAGGAACTCTATAACTGAAGGCGCTTGCTTTGAGGTTTCAGGATTAAATGCGACGATAGGAGAAGATGGCCATAAAAGAGACGGCCCAACACAGACCGCTAAATTCGACGGCGGCATCATGTTTTGCGACGAACGGCGGGCGATGTGGTGTAAAATGCACAGGAAATGCTGCAGAAGTAATAGATTGGCACGTGGCAGGCGGCTGCACAGCAAAAGAGTATGGCTTATTTGGTCGCGAACAGAAGATAGCGAAGGAATTTCCAGCCATTCATCATAGAACTGGGAACAAAGAAGGGAGTCCGGAAGAGATCGCAGGAATTCTTTGAGTATCGCGGCGACGGCGGTGATGTTGGTGCTGCTCAGGTCGGACGGGCAGCCCGAGTCCAGCTTCTCTCGCAGCTCTCGCACCAGGCGAGCGTTGGCCGATTTTCGGAAAATCCCAACAGTGAAAGGGCCTTTCTGGAAGAGCTGCATCAGCATATCCTGCAACATATTTATAAAGTTAAGGCCCTGGTAATAAAAGCAAATAAATTTAAAATATGAACCTGAACATGTAGGATGAGCTACACATCCTATCGGCATCTTATCGTGATGTGTAGACCAAACCGCAATAGTTACCCCTTATGTCAAGAGTAATAAATTATTTGGAATTAACGTGAAAATTTAAGAATTTATTTCCTCATTTATCGCAAAACTGTCAACGATACTTGAACCCGTCCTAAATGTCTTCATACGAGTGACAGAAACTTAATATTATACTGAAGGGTACCGTAGTTAACTACTATTACCTGACAAAACATTAGACACTGTATCTATAATGGTGTAATAATATATAATAATGATACAATATAGGTAATATACAATTGTCTCACGAATCTTGTACCTTAAAACCTAACAGAGTACAAAAATTCGTATAATAAAAAATCAAGATAGCAGAAATTTCAATGGCTAAGGTCTGAGAACTTGAATAAGAAGAAACGATCGAATAAATCATTAACGCAGCGGAAATTAATTTGATCAATTATTAATTAATTACGGTAACAGCTTAAGAATAGAATGCGTCGGATGAAATGATTCGTGAATAAACTATCGTTGGGAAATATGCATTTTAAAACTCCCATTGCCTAGCGCAGGCAATCATTTGAATAAGGTAACACAAGATTCAATTTTCTGTAAACATTAGATATTCTAAGCAATATTCATAAATTATTTGATTAGAGCGGATTAACAATGGGAAGGTCGGTCAATGGCTGTGGCCGTCAATAACGATCTTAGCGATAAAGAAGTTTCAAAGAGAAAGTTTTCGATGAAGTTCAATTACTCACCATGATAGGTTTAGGCAGGGCAGATCCATTAGCTGCGAAGAGCTTGCCAAGTGAATGGCCGAACAAGATACCGGGGGGCGCCGGTCCCGCACCATCGATAGAGTCCCCTTTGCTGTTGGACCGCTTGAAGACGTTGTGGATGCGAATGGGCGACTTGCGCGCTTTCTTTGACACTTTCTTGCTATCGGCGTTGAGTCCATCTAGACCAGGCTTACGTTCCTGCCTTAGAATGAATTGACATTTCACGTCCGCACCCGAGGAGTGAGAACCGTTGTTGTAGAGGTTGTTGCACTGTTCGGCATCGCAGTCCTGCATCGTTTCACGCATGCAGTTGTACTTAATAGCAAAGGGGAACTCGTGGCCGATGAGAGGATAAGGCGAGTCTTCCAAAGACGACTTCACCCACAGCTGAAACTTCGTCACGTCCGCGTCACGCATTTCGAGGTGATCCAAAATCAGGTTGATGCACTCGCGGGCGTTGGTGTTCGAGGTCACGGTCACCGTTTTGCACTGCGAAAATATAGAACGTTAATTGATATCAAAATATAGTTTAATTAGAGGGGGATTATGAGGCTTGTCATAAAGTAAAAAGCATGGGAATTAAGTCTGAGTTTAATTATTCACTTAAAATACAAACAATAAAGGCGGAGCACTATCATATTTCAAAACATATTTAGTGCATTATTGAGATAAATTTAAAAATGTATCGTTAGCATAATTCCATAATCAAACGGGCGACATAAGAATGTAACGTGTGTGTTCAATCACAAAGGTTTAGAAATTAATAAATTATGATAAAGAAGATAACTTAAATGGCTTTAATGTGCAAGTGACTTCTGGTTATTATGGATTGAAAGAAATGCGTCTTGAAAAAAAAAGAATTCGTCTTGAAAGTTTCATGTTATGCACTTAGAAACAACAAAAAGTTCGCGTACAAGGAAATATATGAGCATAGTTAGGCGATGTTATCATAACAACACGATTGATGAACATAGCTTCCTCATGAGACAATAATTCAGAGTTTTATCCGATTTAACTCTGAAGTTGCTATAATGAACAGTTACTTTAAACAGAATTATCTTTGTTTTCAAGATGGGAGCTGGTGGATGATAGAGAGATACAGACGGAAGAAAGACGAGGAAAGATTGGCCCAAAAAAGTCTAGAGATCCAAACATAAACAAAGAACGCCAAGACTTTTTAAGAATAAGACACATAAGATTACAAACAGTTTATGTTAAAAGAAAATTTAGCTTCAAAATTAAACCAACAAGACTTCTAAAGCCGTAGGCTGCAGGCACAAATATAAGAAAATCATCTAAGTTGCTTTGTACGTGAAGCTTATAAACTAAAAAACACTATAAAATAGAAAACTTATAAGCTAGAAAACACTAGATAAGCAACAGTGTGGAAGAAAAACTCAAAAACCTTCACCCGAAGCATTTTATGAACAAATCTACTGCACCGATTGACCAGCAACTCGCACGACAGCCACCAAAGGCAAGCGCGCGATGTATTCACTCAGTGAAATAAACTATCAAGCTACCACTCATATCTCTCGCTAACATGAAATTATTCACAACTGTATGGTATTTTCAATTTATAGTTAAAAATTTTTTCAACCCTAGTGCTCTTATAAGTAACGCTGTAGAATAAACTCGTAAAACGGCTGGTTTTCCTTTTTCTTGAGTTTTGATTGTGCAGCCTACGAGCTGTTATGAACGAGTAAATAAAGCTTATTAATTACAATTCGGAGGTTGCTAAACTTCCCGATAAAATAAATTAAATAATTCATACTAGATCTTATGTTTTTTCATGACGGGCAATGACACGATAGTCAAACCTTCGCATACCTCATCTACCACTACTTGAATTTATTGCAAACGGTAGAGATGATTTGATAATAAGTGAATTTTCCAATGCCTATATTCGCAATTATTTTCCAATTTCAAGCCAATGCATGGAATACAATGTAAGTAATAAAGACTTATTCTCAATTTTCTACGATTGTGCCAACTCAATACGCGAATACTTGCACTTTTTTCATTTGATCTTCGTTGGCCGCGCGATTATAGAAGTCAACCACCGGCAGATAGTCGAGCAGCGGGCGGTCTTACGAGGCTATTTCAGGAGACAAGACTGGCCTCTAACGAAGCCCCGGCGTCCACCTCTTATTAGCCGCGATTTATAGAAGCTTATTTATGTGATGCGTCGTTTTTACAACATGGCTACACAAATACCATAGCGAAAGATATGCCCGCGCAAGACACGGCGCTTTCTAAGCATTTTTCGATGTTATGCGCAAAGCGACCATTTCAGTGGCACTGTCTGTCGTACAATCCTTACGGTTTGTTTGATATTATATATTCCTATGTAAAGTAATTTTAGTCAAAGTTTATGATATTTACAATCAAGCCATAATTATAAGCGTCCATTATTCAACCAATAAAATAAAAATTAGAAATCTGTTCATGCCTCCCCTTGATTTCTTGTAATTATTTTTTTTAACCGCGGTTACTTTATTAATAATATAATATATTAAAAAATTTGTCACTTCACTAGTGTAATTATGTCTCATTAATATGATTTAGATTTAATTTTGGTTTTCGTTCGTACAATACATTTTTTCTATGCTTCATTTCTAAAAAGAAGAATTCCTTCGTTAGCTTATCTTTACCGCACGCACAAATGTACAACAAGTGAAGCTGAGAAAAATTGTAGACTTCAACGAAACTTGAGCAGAGGGTAAGGGTCATACGAGGGTAGAGGGTAGACGAACACTTAGGAATTATAGTAGAATTATCGTCGGCCGCCTGTTGGACACAGGTTGGCTTTGTGAAATTTTAAACCACGTTCAAAATCGGTTTTCGACCGAAGAAAAAAAGTTGCATTCCACTGCGAAAAGCACCACAAGCGAACCCATCACAAAATCCTCAGAGATTCTTTCAAGTAATTCTACAAATAATTTACAAAAAAAACTTTTTTCAAGGGACAGACAAGCCTCCCTAGTATTATGTAAGCAACTGCATGTTAAACTCATGACAGTTAAGAAAATTTGACCAAAAATACCAATTCTTCGACCACACCACAATAAAGGAATAGGATTAGTTTTGACGGTTCTATGAATAAGTGAGAGTGAAAAAAAAACAGAGTAAAGCTTGTTTTTAATGAAGTTAATGAATGATGTTTAAATTTATGAGAATCTAGAAAATTTAAACCATCCATCGTCAACAAGAAAATAATCCACGACGCTTATTCCGATACATTAAAATAAAAACGCGATTAATTGAACATGCACGTTTATATTTGTACATTTTTACCGTAGTACTTTTTTGAGATATGTCCTTAATTCGAAGCTTGAGTGACATGCGTGTTTCTCAGGCCATGCGTGAAGTGTACGCTCATATTTTCATTTGGATCAGGAAAGCATGTGTGGCATGTGCAGGCATGTGTGGCATGTACAGGCATGTGTGGCATGTACAGGCATGTGTGGCATGTACGTAGGCAGTGGCCAGGTGTGTGGCTACGGTCATGCCACACTACAACGTCCGAGCGCCAGTCGCCGCAGGGAAGCCTATCCTCGCCCAAGCTTCAAAAAAAAAAAGACATCACCAAAAAAACCGGGACTCAAAAAAGCCGGACAGGTCATGAATAACAAAGATATTCACAAAGCTGTTCACACCACGAGGAAATTCAACAGTTGTTGTGACAAAACAAATATTTTTAACAATATCTCGAGGAGTTCTTCTCAGTTTAAGAATAAAGGCTAAAACCAAAAAAGTTGCATAAAACCTTTTACTGAATAAAAGTCCTAGATGAATAAAACAGAACGTTTTAGCCCGAAACGTTCTGTTTTATTCATCTAGGACTTTTATTCAGTAAAATGTTTTATGCAACTTTTTTGGTTTTAGCCTTTATTCTTAAAATATGTTTAACGTACAGCAAGCCAACAAATGCGACCAATTAGAGATACAATAAAGAAGCCAATGGAAGTAACAGCTACAACAATGAAGCAATGACGGTACGAACGAACACTTTAAAGATCGAGAATCTTACTTGCTGAAGAGAATACTAGAGTAAATGCATCCTTTGCACGCTCATTCATACGGCTCACCATCTCAATAAGTTTGCGTCTAACAATGAAACATGGTATTTACATTCAGAATAAACCAGCTGCATGGCAATCACACAAGAAAGGAAAAGCAGACACAGGTTTACCGTCGATGACGTAAGAAATTTTTTTCATTTTTCACCACCTGGAAGATTCTCAACAAGAAAAGTAGAATCAGAGCGAAATGTTCTGGACCCTCAAGATATCACAATTCAGCAACAAGTGCTGACTCGCACATACGAAGAGCAACTTAAACGCAGTTGTTCCAACGCAAATTTTTATCAGCACCAATTAATGTCAACTATCAACGGCGAAGAATGTTTTTATAATTCAAAAATAATTTTGATGGTTCACAAGCTGCATTGTTCTAACGAAAACTTAATGAGTTTGAGAAAATACGACATTATCACCAAGGTCTTCCGAGCTTGAATTGTAAACTTCAATATTGCTCACATCACTCCTTAGATGGTACGCAAAAAGTTTAACAATGTATTAAACGAAAAATTTTTGTATCTTTTGTTATTAAAGGTACATCCCAAACTTTTACAAAACAAATAAATTCAGACCTAAAACTAGAAGAAAAAATCTTAAGCCAAATGAAGAATTCGGTTAACAACTGCCGGAGACGCTTTTGCACTTGGTCTCTTCCACGTGGTCTGAAAACACCCCTGCCCTGACCCCCAACACTCATGAAAATTAATGAATCATTCTGTCCAAATTTTGTTACTTTCTGCACGTAACGCTGATACACGCCCTTTTGCCAGTCGTGTATCAGGCGTCATTACACACAAATAAAAAGTGCATCACTATTCGGACAAAATCTCTATCATTCCTCTGAGTGAACAGTTCTTGCCATTTCCTAATGTGGGCACTTAACTCCAAGGTGTCCTTATCTCTCCTAATGCGATAATTTGTCGATCCTCACATTACAGTACCTATTTCAGGTATCAGGATACCCATGTCATCACATGCCATCAACTAACACATCGCTGATAGCAGATGAAAATTACACTCGTGTATTGTGTAGCCCAAGACTGGTTTTGTAGTTCGATTGATTATGAAGTCAGTCCTGATCATGATGTCAATTGCAAACATTTTAAGTAGCAATCATCTCTGCAATCATTACTTTAAAGAATTGGTCGAAAAGAAGGATGGATTGTGCCAATAGCATCTGTATGTCTTTTATCGGAAAAGTTACGGAAAACGCTGTAATCGTCAAATTATTTTTATGTAGACGCTTCACCTTCTTTTACTAAATTGCTTGCCAAAAATATTTACATACGAAGAAAACCGAGCATTCGAAAAAGTGTTCATTTGCATACCATTATACAGAACCAAAAAAATTTGTATCAATTATCAATTATGCAATTATTAAAGAATCGATGAAAATAATTGCGGGAAAAAGTTGTTATGCGAACTATTATACAATCATTACATATCAACTTTTTATTTTATCAATGCAGTAATTAATTAAGTAGGCAAATAATCCACATCATTTTAATTAGAATTTTCATTGACTTTCAGATCGAATAGCCCGAAGTTGGAATTTCAGTTCATCTAATAAAAATTCACCAAGAGTCGGGTAAAAATAAAATATACGGGCCTCAATCCGTCTCATTTTTATACATATGCATATGGCTTTAACGCATACCATTTTAAGACTGACTTTAATTATAATAGCGAGTAACGCTTGTATGGGGAAAACAGGTCTGGCAGAGATAAGATATAGAAATACCGGTGAACAGGTTCACATAAAAACAGAGCACCGGCTAAACCCGGTATGAAATGAATAACACATGAAGGCGGTTTTTAGTTCAGGGCTGGCAGTTGTAGAATTGAAATTGTAAGTTATTCAAACTTTCAAAAACACAAAGAAACGAATAGATAAGCGAGAAAGAAATAGAAGCACCATGGGGGTTAGTAGTGCAGAAGAAAAACTATTATTAACAGAACAATTTAGCGCAGGTTTCGAAACTATTGAATGAGTAAAATGATTCTAGCACGCGTAAAATATCATATAATGATTAATGAATATCAAAGTACTCACGATATCTGCAGAGGTGGAACAATTTAGCGCCTGTCTTGAAACTATTGAATGAGTAAAGTGATTCTTGCACGCGTAAAATATCAACTAATGAATATATCAAAGTACTCACGATATCTGCAGAGGTGTTAGGGTCGTAGTAGGAAACTTGGATGTTGGTGGTGGGCGGCGTAGACTCTTTTTCCTCGGCGATGACCTGGGCCAGCTTGTTGTACCAGAGGTCTTTGGTGGCGACACAACTGAGGATAGAAGATTTTCTTAGGGACTTGGCCGACTTAGACTTGTCTTTACTGCTGCTCAAGTTCGAAGGTAACGTTTTGTTGGATTTCGTTGTGCATGGCGTATTAGGCCAAACTGTAGCAATGGGATCAGATATCACTGGTCGGCGAGGCTTACTAGTTTTCCATTTAGCATAAGATTTTAGAACTCCTAAGGTAACGGCATTTTTACGATCGTTTTTTGTGGACTGGTCATGGAAATGGTTATCAGTTGGTATGTACTCAGTTTCTTGGTGCTCAATCTTTCTAAATTCTGTTAGGGTTTGCGGCATTTGTTGATAAATTGACTCCGGATTAGTTTCGTCAAAAGAATGATCGTGATTCAAAGTTAAACTGCCTGAACAACCCATGGGCAGCAACGAATGTAGTGACTTGGATAAACTCTTCGATCCTTTCAGCTTCCTCCGATTTTTCAATTTTTTATCGGACTTTAAAGCCGATTTGTTTTCGCGAATGAGATTAACATTATTGACATTCGAAGCGTTAGACTCAGGACTGTTGGAAGCACTGCTAAGGCTGTACGAACTGCTGCTGTTGCTGCTGCTATTGCTCACGCCGCTGCCTGAACTCGATAATTTGTCTCGAATTTCACGTTTCAGAACACCGACCTCCGAAATATAATTGTTCAAGCTTCCCGATGACGCATTGACAAATTCCATTTTCGATAACGTTGGGAAAGGCAACATTTCCCTATTACTGAAAGATTTTGACCGTCGGCGCTGCAGTTGGTCGTGGTTTCTTACTTCCGGCGACGCATTCGACACGGAGGAGCGGAGCAACGGCCGTCCACCGCCGGGCTTGTTTACAAAAATCTCGTCAATGGAGGAGTAAGGTGAGCTTTCAAGCGACTCGCGCGAAAAATTGTTCCTGGCGACGTTAGCGTAATTTTCAGCCTCTTCGCACGTGGTCATAGAATTCGCATACGTAAGCGTCGAGTCGCTATGAATTCTCGACTTCTGAAATTCAGAGGAGGTCTTCAACACTGAACTGATACAGGCCGTTGACAAAGATCTGTAGACTGCCGGTTTCGGAGTCTCTAGTAAATTCTGTTCAGGAATCGAAAGCTGCGAACAATTCGATGGCAGGGAGAGCTTATGATATAGCTGAGAATTAGGCAACGTTGCCACTTTCAAGCAGTTGGAAGCTTTTACTTTAGGCACTCGACTAAGCAATAAAGTATCACATCTATTCTTGAGCTGCGACGTAGTAGTGGTGCTATCACACGCCTCTCCAGAGAACGTCGGTGGGGCAAGTTTTTTGTACACTCTAGCACCAAGTGGAATTTGTCCATTTTCTGCTATTGCTCACGCCGCTGCCTGAACTCGATAATTTGTCTCGAATTTCACGTTTCAGAACACCGACCTCCGAAATATAATTGTTCAAGCTTCCCGATGACGCATTGACAAATTCCATTTTCGATAACGTTGGGAAAGGCAACATTTCCCTATTACTGAAAGATTTTGACCGTCGGCGCTGCAGTTGGTCGTGGTTTCTTACTTCCGGCGACGCATTCGACACGGAGGAGCGGAGCAACGGCCGTCCACCGCCGGGCTTGTTTACAAAAATCTCGTCAATGGAGGAGTAAGGTGAGCTTTCAAGCGACTCGCGCGAAAAATTGTTCCTGGCGACGTTAGCGTAATTTTCAGCCTCTTCGCACGTGGTCATAGAATTCGCATACGTAAGCGTCGAGTCGCTATGAATTCTCGACTTCTGAAATTCAGAGGAGGTCTTCAACACTGAACTGATACAGGCCGTTGACAAAGATCTGTAGACTGCCGGTTTCGGAGTCTCTAGTAAATTCTGTTCAGGAATCGAAAGCTGCGAACAATTCGATGGCAGGGAGAGCTTATGATATAGCTGAGAATTAGGCAACGTTGCCACTTTTAAGCTGTTGGAAGCTTTTACTTTAGGCACTCGACTAAGCAGTAGAGTATCACATCTATTCTTGAGCTGCGACGTAGTAGTGGTGCTATCACACGCCTCTCCAGAGAACGTCGGTGGGGCAAGTTTTTTGTACACTCTAGCACCAAGTGGAATTTGTCCATTTTGCTGAGATCCGATAGTGTCAGTCACAAGCGTGGGAGAAGATTCAGGCATGCAGTCATTTTCGGGTATTTCGACGACACTCTCGGTATCCAGCCTGCTGGTTTTGCCGTTAACGTAGGCCTGGTGTTTACGCTGCCGCTTGCGAATTGGCTTGAGGTTACGCGGATATGCGTAAGCTCGACTCAAGTTTCCTGGTATTGAATCGAGAGTATCATCCATACCAGAAGTTGCCACGCAAAACAATGCGGGAACGCAAATATCGTCACTGCACAGCATCATCATGAACAGAAAAGTACTCTAGTCCTCTAAGCTCGTAGCTTCCTCGAGTATCAAAGCTCAGGTACACCGCGGAATTTTTCGGGCAATGACCGTCCGTGTGTTTCATTCATGCCCAGATTCATTCACAGAATTATAGTATTCATTTCAAAAGCTTAAAAGCACGTACAAAACTAATACTTTGTTCAATAATGTTTCACCGAAACCTAATCTTCACAAAGGACCGCGATATCGAAGTAGGTTCACTTGATTCAAGAAGATCTCGCGCAAAGATTTTCTCGAAGGCAGAGCGCGCAACCACACACCGTGAGATCGAACGATACACTGACTACCCCAGTCTACCTGGGCCTCTCGCGCTGCGATGTGCGACGTCTAATAACCATTTGGGGTATGGATACGCAGGTAGCAAATCACTCCGCCTCTCCTCCCTCCAGATTGGCCCTAAGTTCACAGAACTATCTTGAACAATAGATACCCATAACAGCAGGAACATTAATAGCGTGAAATATAAGCAAACATGGATTGTCAGTGTCTCGATGTTAGTAGTCTGATATAAATGCCTATTGCTATCTTAATTTGATTGATTAACAGATATACCTTGATGCCTGATTCAAGTCGAATTATCAAATCAAAGTGGAAAAATCCCAGCAAATTGCTAGAAAACTTTCACAATGTTAGCAAAAATCACAAATCCGCCCCCTACACCCCACATTCACATAAAGAAAATGGGGAGGAACACATTCTGTTCAAGACTTTAAAAAAACTAATCCTAGAAGAGTTGAGATTCGACGCTAAATTTTCTATGCAAGTCCTACGTCCCAGCCAACCAAGCCCTAGGCCTTATTTCGCGGCAAAGAACCTGGCGCTGTGCTCTAGTTTCTGCCATGTTTCTGCACCCGGTGAAATTCCTCGATGTGATGAGGCATGTTCTGCACTTCAGCTCTGCAAATATCCTGCAAGAACGTAGCTAGCCACATCTACCACTTAGCTACATTTATCGTCGGTGAAAACCTTGTTATGTCAGTTAAGCTTCGCTTGTCTAATCGTGAAATAATTCTCACACGAAAAACGTCAAATATTCATCTGAAACAGCCAAAAATTTTGTTAGTTTGTAATTTTTAGCAATGCAATAGAATGCAATTTATTAAAGTTTCTGAAGGAATTCATTCACTTTGAGCCATAACGTTGAGATAGAGGAACACAAATGTGATCCCTTCAACACAAAGCAAAATGTCCTAGTTTCGGGGCACACTATTGCGAATGAAAGAGAATCTCGGAATCTTACGTTTTCCATGGAGACGTAAGAAGTATTTTTTGATAGCCGCCAATCACTGTCCTAATTATACGAGGCTAACCTAAAATGTCAATTGCTATGAAACGTACTGAACGTATTGAAATAATTGTCGTTGCATTCCACGACAACAGCCACGGACTTTGAGAATCTCCGAAATGTATGCAATAACAAAACGTTCACGGGTTGGTAAATTTAAATATCAAATCAATATGTGAAGAAGTGTAAGAGAACTTTCAACACAATGCGCATGCACACAAATAAACGAACGCTTTCATGAATGAATTATGTATAAATATCTTACATTATAAGGTATAAAAGCACAGCCCGTGTACGTGACCTCAAGCACGTGGGCCGACACGCGTGTGCCAGACGCACGTGGCGAGTTCGCACTAAGTTGCACACGTTGAAATTCACAGAAATCAATTTTATCAGTAGCTTAAAAAACAGTAAGATTGTTTTTTAATTTTATTTAACAATTATAAGGAGCAAAAAATTATGAAAACTTTTTAAATGTAAAAACGTTTAATTTTGTTAGAATTTTTCTCTTGTACTTGTAACTGAATCCTTAACGACCAGTTTAGATACCAAGATCGAATTCCGATGCCAGGCAGGACCACAAATATCTATTTTTACAAAGAACTAGCTACGAACACGAGCCAAAGATGCTTAACTATGGTACTTAGAACATAAACTAAAGATGATAAATCTTGATCATTCTTACAGTTAACTTCTTGAATTAGGACAAACTCTATTAATTGGAATTCAATACAATTAGGGATTTACTCCGTTAATAAAAAAAGCTTGTTGGATGCGTAATAAAAAAATACGATAGGAAAGTAAATAAAATTACCCTAATTCGCTGGACCGACGAATGATGTATTAACAGAAAAGAAAAAAATTCATCCCTGATAGGTTTAATAAAATTGGTAACAATGAAATGTAAAACCAGTTTTTACTATCGATTTTTCCAACATCAATGAAAAGAACTTTCACTAGAACCTATTACCTGTAGTATAAAATGCGTACTTGCATGCGTCACCCATACCGCTTCGGTCACCTGTACATGCGCATAAAGTGAGTCTAGAAGAAGCCTAATCCTGAAGCATCCACCTTCCCTTCCATCGACACATGGTCGCTACGAGCCTTCCTCACAGCCTCAAGGCGAATTAAAACCTTCCTCGTCGTGGTCCAGCCCCAAGGCGGCGGCAAAACGAACATGAAAGTCACAAACGAAACATCGCGGCATTCATAACGGCAGTCGTTGGGGCGACTTAGGATCGGCTTACGGCTTGGGCTCAGAGGCTCTGCCACATCAGAAATTATTGCTGGAATATTAGGAGCTACT